CCAGCAGAGGGGCACTGGGGTGAGGGAAAAGACAAGGCAGAGCCTCCTGGCAGCTCCCAGAAGGGAGAGGGTGCTGAGTTTTCCTTCCTAAGGGTTTTAAGGGTGGAGGTCTCAGGGAAAGATCTTAATAGAATATTTAGAAGCTTTCCACGTGTGTCCTTTCAGGGGTGTGGTCTCTCTCCACTGATTGGTTGGCTGGCACTAGGGCAGGAGGTCATTATTCAATGCAGCTGGTCCTGACGTCAGCTGTGACTGCTTATCTGGGCCTGGAGCTGAAATGTGACTAAGGACTAGAAGAGGAAAGGTTAGGGGGTTCAAACTGCAGGACCAGCGATATACTAAGGGTAGAAAGGTCTCCCTGGGGATAAAGTCCCACCCTACGATTGTCCTTTGCTAGGCACCCAGGGCTTTCTACCCTGGTGACCTTCTGTACCTGGCCCATTGTCCTTTTTCTGCTCCTGTCTAACTGCCTATTACAAACTTACTGCCTTTCCCCCAAAGTAAATGATGGAGAAATGGTGGAGGCAGGGCGGGAGGAGACAGGAGCTTCTGGTCTCCAGTTGGAACCCACATTTCCCAGGTTGAAATCCAAGGCTGATTGGATCCTAACACAGTCTTATTTGTGTTTATCTTCAGGACTCTAATGCTGTCTCACTTCCAGACACAGACTATGCAAGCCAGTTTGTTACTGGAAACCCCCCGGGTGGGCTCGGGCTGCCTGTCGTAATGTCCAATAACGAAGGCAGGGTTGTAACATAGAAGGTGTTTATTGAGAAGGCCAGCCAACCAAGAAGACAGGGGCTTATAAGCTTCCCCAAACTGTCTTACAGCAGGTGCAGGGGACAGGATTACATAAGAAGAATGGACTGGGCTGAGGCTGGGAACACAAGGCGAAGGCATGCAATCCTGAAGGTCAGCAGACATCAACCCTTGCTCTTGGTTGTCAGGCAATGAGAGGATGGCTTGGCTCCTGGTGGGGTCGGCCTGATCATGCCTAGCAGTTGTGCTTGCATGCTGGGTACGGTGTACATGGTCTGCAGCTGACTCATCTCAATCACTTGTTTGGGATGAGACTGAGCAGACACACTGGCCTGAGAAATGAAACTTAGAACAAATATTTTAACTCTCTGTTCCCATGTAAGCAACTTAACCCTCTGCTTCCATACATAAATGTATTTTAGAATTTCAGAGTAATGTGATTATTTTCCAGGTGCTCTATCTATCAGATTATGCATCCCCGTACCAAATTGACGTGAGATGGGAAGGAAGATGACTTGGGTCTTCTGCCTCCACCGGCTGTGTCTGAGCTCTGCGGGAAGAGCACCACAAACCTTTCACTGAGGACTCTGTGGCTGAGAAACCATCAGTGGGACTTGGAACCCAGATATGGATGAGAGAGGTTCTACTCATTCCCTCGAGAGGGTGATGCCTTTGAGAATACCTTTGGCAGGGATATCGGTGCTCCCCGGGTGGCAATCCAATGCAGGGAATGATGAAATGTCTTGGAGCCCCTTTTTTCGAGAAGACATTGAGGGCTGTGGGTGCCGGAAGCATGCCAATAGCTGATTCTGACCAACTAGTTCATCAACACTGAGGGGACACCTCTTGGGGGCCTGTGATTGACCAGGGTGAGCATGTGAGGAGAGTGGAGGGTCCTGCAGGGGGGTGAGGGTGGGTTGGTGGTGGTGGTGGGGGGGGTGATGTGGTGAAAAGCCAGGGAATTACAAGTCATTCCAACTAATGTGGCTCCTTTTGCTCCCGGGATAGTGACATTTCAGGAAACATAGTTATATGCAAAATGTTCTTTATTATCTTCCAAATGTCTCTGTTAGTTTTAAGACCTCAAGTTAAGATTAAGTGTAATATGTCGCACATCTCTTGCCTACCCGTCCCACCTCATTCCTTTTGGGGTTCTGTTCCTGGTGGTATGACATCCTTGAGCAGCACACATGCATACACCCGGTGTACCTTCCTCAGCACACGAGGTGCCAATGGGCTTCCCTCCAGGTCAACAGCATATGCCGTTTCCTTTCCTGGACACCAGATCCAGTAATTAGTTCCTCAGGCAAAGTGAGCTAACCCTTGCCTTAGGACACACACCTGTCCAATTCCGTCCAATGGAAGGAGTTTGCCTTGGCAGCTGGTAGGAATCGTGTTTTCCACCAGAATGGCCTCTTGAAAAACAGGAGAGACTCAGGGCTTGGGATCTTTGTATTCTTTACTTATCAAGAAAAACTCTTCTTTACTTATTATGCCTTTGAGACTGCCTCCAGAGTGGGGCAGAACACGGCATCAGGGGCACCTTCTCGTTTCTCACAATGGAGTCAGACAAGGAGAGAGAATGTGGACAGAAGCAGATGCTAACAAGATTTAACAGGGAGCCGAAACCGGTGGCTCAGTGGATAGACCGTTGACCTGCAGCCTGAAGGATCCCAGGTTTGATTCTGGTCAAGGGCGTGTACCTTGGTTGCAGGCACATCCCTAGTGGGGGGTGTGCAGGAGGCAGCTGATCGATGTTTCTAACTCCCTGTCCCTCTCTCTTCCTCTCGTAAAAAAAAAAAAAAAATCAATAAAATATATTTAAAAAAAAAAGATTTAACAGAGAGCAAGGGAGCAGCCCCCCCCCCCCCCCCCCGCTGTCAATGTGGGGCCAGGTGTTTGTGTGCATGGGGGTGCATGGTGATGGGTGTCAGGGCGTAAGCTGAAGTCCTGGACTCTTTTAAGAAAGCTGTAAGGGGGAAATGTTCTTTTTAAAAATTGTTTGAAGTATGACAAATAGTGATACACATGTCTCCTTTTTTTCTCCCCATTGACCTCCTCCTGGCCTCTCCTGCCCCCCAGTACATGCCCTCACTTGCTCCCCCCCCCCGGGTCCTGTATCCATTGGTTATACTTATATGCATGCATAGAAAAATATTGTTTTCAATGGCTGTGATGTGAGACCAGCCTAAGGTATTGAAGCCAGTTCATACCCAGTGTGACATTTCATTTATCTGTAGCTGAGTCTGGAAGTGGTAAGGTACACCAAACTTTCAGAAAAACCAGAACACCCTTTTATGTCCCATCACATATATATTACGAATTAAATCTATGACTATTCTTTCAGGAATCCATGCTGTGCATACGGATGGTCTCAGGGCACACAACATTATTTCTGATACAGAAAATAACACAAAAGCCATTGTTACAGTAGTTGGAAATTTTAATAGAAAAAGAATCTTGATTTACATATAATGTTTTAATTGCTGAATAAACATGTTAATATAGACTTAATTTTATTGAGACATATTTGACATATAACACTGTGTCAGTTTAAGATGTACAGCATGTTGACTTGATACATTTCTACATTTTAATTCGATTGTAATCGTTTGACATATTTTGTAATGGAAATAATTAAGATCTACTGTCTTAATAAGGCTGATGTTATTGTCTATATTCACTGCACTGTGCATTAGATTTCCAGAACTTCTTTAGTTGCAAGCTTGTACCCTTAAACACCATCTCTTCTATCCCTGCCCCCCAACCCCAGATAACCATCTTTTAAGTTCGAAGGAATTCCAAGAAACAAACATTTTGTAACAGAGAGAATAACTGATGGTCTTGTTCTGGGTCAGCTGACTCTGTTTTGGGTCACACAAACCTTGACTTTGCAGGCTATTCAGTATCTACCTAGAAAATTCCAAATTGCTCCAAACATACCCTTAATTTGGGTGTTTTCATAAAGAATTTCAGGGTTAAGAAAAACTTTTAAATCACCAAATTTACATGTCTAATGGTGGGAAACCCTTCCTTTGCTGATGTAATTTCCCAAGACCTTTCACTAACTCCTTAGCCACCAAATAATTCCCTGCTCTGCTGCTTTCCTGGGGGGGATCATCAAAGCACTTAAAAAACAACAAAGCAAATAAATTTTCCTAATAGTGGCTAAGGAAATGAAAATTTCTCCATATGATTATAATCTACAATGGCAAACCAGCATTCCTCTCTCTTGCTCTCTTTTGCCTACCCTGTTCCTATCCCTACGGGTGAGACATTTATTTTTAAAGAAAGGTATTATTTTGGTTTCTAGCATACTGTAAAGAATCCTTTTTTAAAAGAGTAGTTTATTTGTTTATTTATTTATCTGGAGAGGAACGGAGAGGGAGAGAGAGAGAAACGTCGACGTGAGAGTGTAACATCATTTGGCTGCCTCTTGCATGCCCCCACCAGGGATCAAGCCGGAAACCTGAGCAAGTGTCCTGATGGAGAATCAAACCGGCAACTTTCAGTGCATGGGATGATACCACACTGACCTGGGCCAGAATCCTTTTTTTTTAAAAAGTTCTTCCCATGTTGTATTTCGATTACAAGGAGAGCAGAGTGAAGGCAAAATCTCCCCCAAGAGCCTCTTGAACTGCTGTAGTGTGATGGACTGACCCCATTACTTCTCGGAGACATGTCCCTTCTGGATTGGACTTATTCTCTGCTCTCTAGTTCTCAAACTATAGTCCCACCTCAGCTAATAGGACGATTGATCTGCTGTCATGTAGGGCAATCTAGATTAAGGACAACCTAAGGCAGTGGAGAAAGAAGGAGAGAGAGAGAGAGAGAGAGAGAGAGAGAGAGAGAGGACATCCAACTAAGCATTGGTCCCCCAGCCTTTAGATGAACCTAGAACATTCCCTTCCAGTAGCAGATCTCAAATGACACCAGTGATGGAAAAGCATTGCAAAAATGGACCAGTGTTTCCGATGTCAACTGGGATATGGTCCCTTTACCAAGCCACAAGACCTTACTCCCCTCTCCCCCTTCAATACCACCACCACCACCACCACCACCACCATCAATTTAGTCCCTTTTCTGGAACTCCCTGAGCAAGTCAACCCAATCCAGCCCTGTGGGCACTCTCTCACTCCATGCCTATGCCATACTCATAGTTAAATATTTTGGTACCAACTGCGAGGAGGGGTATTGCCTCCCTCCCCGGAGTAGCCCTGTGAGTACCACATCCTGATTCCTCATTCATCCGCTAAAGACGCGGAAGGGCTGAGGCGGCCGTTCACATCCGTCTCAGAGTTTTCACCTGCTGGCTGCCTCTTCCCATCCAGCTCCTGAAGACATGTCAAGATGCGCAAAGCCTGGGGATCATCTCTATTCCTGGAAAGCCTGGCTTTGGCGATGCCTCGCAGTTTGTTCTCCATCTTCCCAGTGGCCTTCGGGTCCTGGTTTATTTTCACACCCTCCATGAAGTGGTGGATGGCCTTGCTCTCACACTTCCTCTGAAACCACTGAAAGTTGCCATATCGAAGGTGGAGCACCTGCCGTTCCACAGCCGTGAGCTCTTTGGCGAATTCCCTCTGGAAGTAATACTCTGCATCCTCGTACTGGCCCGCCTGGAGGTGGAGGCAGGCCAGGAAGGAGCCCACGTTGACCAGAGTCCCGTTGAGCTCATCAGCTCTCTTCAGGTGGTCCACGGCGTGTCTGATCAGCTCCTGGTAGTCCTCCCTGTACCCATACCTGCCCGTCAGGCCTCTCTTCTCACACTCGAGGACTTTGGCCCGGTAGCACACCCCCAGGTGGCAGTGCAGGTAGGCGTTGTTCGGCGAGCATTGCACGGCCCTGGTGAGCAGCTCAATGGCGCTGTCCAGGTCGTTTTTCTTCCGATACAGCATCGCTGCCCCGCGAAGCACGTCGATGGCACAGGGGGCTTTCCCCACGGCTTCTTCCACTAGCCTCTCCGCCTCCTCGTCTTCGTTCATCTTCTGCAGTTTCAGAGCCAGGAGGACCTTGATATACTGGTTGTCAGGGTTGAGCTCAATGGCCCGCCTCAGGGCCTCCACGGGATTCTTGAGCGCTGACCACTGGTCCAGCCGGAAGCTGCAGATCGCCAGCCCCGAGGTGGACTCCGGGTGCTTCGGGCGCTTGTCCAGACACTTCTCAAAGCACGCCTTCGCCCTGCCGGCGTGCTGCCTCCCGCACTTGAGCCGAGACCACCCCTCTTCGCAGTCCAGCTCGGGACTCTCCATTCGGTAGGGGTTGGAGAACTTCTTGCAGGCCTCTCGGATCTTGTCCACATAGGCCTGGGCTTCGGAGAGCCTGCCCATGCCATGGTAGACCCAGGCGTAGTTGCCCCAGGTGACCAGGCTTCGGAGTTCCGCTTGGCCAGGGTACTGCTGCTGGATCAGGTCTTCCGCTCGCCGCAGGCACTGCAGCGCCTCCTCGCCCTGGCCCCGCTGGTGCTTTATGAAGGCCAGCAGGTTGTACGTGGTGGCTCTGAACTCGCCGCTCTGCAGCTCGGTCTGGTGGCACACTCTGTCTTCGAAATTATCCAAGGAGTTTTCTCCCTCCAACAAGTTCCAGGTGAAGTGGCATTTCAGCCGCCGCAGGCTGCTCTCCAGGGAGTTCTCGGTGGCCTCCTCGCTGTGGGGAGAAGCAGAGAGACCGACATGTGAGAGAGGACGGCACAGACTCACCCGGCACAAAGCAGGGAGCAAGACAAACACAGTTCTCCTCCTCCGGAAGGGCGCGGACCCCAATCAAAAAAGAACATTGCCCCCAGCCGGTGTGGTTCAGTGGTGGAGCACCGACCTATGAATCAGGAGGTCACAGTTCGATTCCCGGTCAGGGCACATGCCAGGTTGCGGGCTCTATCCCCAGTGCGGGGCGTGCAGGAGGCAGCTGACCAATGATTCTCTCTCATCATTGGTGTTTCTCTCCCTCCTTCTCTCCTCCTCTCTGAAATAAATAAAAATATTTTTTAAAAAACATTTTCTTTTTTAAATTTCTGCATTTTGGTACATGCGTTCAAGCACAGGGAAGCAGGAATCAAGCGACTGGGCCATGGGAGAATCAGGGAGAGGGCAGTGGGCGGGCTTCCCTAAGGCAGGCAGCTTGGCAGGTTGGCCAGCCCACTGCTCTCTTGTTGGGGGGGCCTCTGCAGGGGTGGCCAAAGCTGTAGAACTGGTTCCAGTGGAGGCTTTCTGTACTTTCTGGCAAGGCTAGTTAATTGATTTTTGTTTGTTTCGTTCCTTCCTCCTACCTAGCATTCATTTAAAAAAAAAAATCTATCTATCTATCTATCTATCTATCTATCTATCTATCTATACATATTTCAGTGAGGAAGGTAGAGGGAGAGATAGAAACATCAATAATGAGAGAGAATCATTGATCAGCTGTCTCCTGCATGCCCCATACTGGGGATCGAACCCACAACGCAGGCATGTGCCCTAGACCAGAATGTAGCAAGGATCCTTCAGTCCGAACCCCAACTTCTTAGGTTGTTGATTTCTGTTCTTAACATGTTTCGTTGAATTGATTTGGGTCTAGTAATAATTAATGTCGTTTTCTAATACCTTTTTAAAATCGAATTTATTTAAACAATACAACAAAATTTAATCAACAATATATTAATAGTTGCCGTTGTTTTCTACTACTTGTGCCCAACGCTCAGGAAGCATTTTAATCCCTCTGTTGTAAAATTCTTGTGATTTTGATGCAAAAAATTCGGTCAATGCATTTTTGAGGCATTCTTCATTATTAAATTTTTTTCCAAGAAGAAAGTTTTGCAAAGAACGAAACAAATGGTAATCGGAAGGGGCAATATCAGGAGAATATGCAGGTTGAGGGAGAACTTCCCATTCCAACTGGTGCAGTTTTTCAGCAGTGATACTTGCGGTATGCGGTCGTGCGTTATTGTGGTGAAGAATTATGCCCTTCCGATTAATCAGCGCGGGTTCTTTTTCTCTTAAAGCTTGGGCTAACCTTTCCAATTGGGCACTATACACTGCACTTGTAATGGTTTGGTTAGATGGTAAAAGTTCATAATGAAGAATTCCTTTAAAATTCCACCAAACACACAACATCACTTTTTTCGCATGCAAGTCAGGTTTTGGCGTGGGCTGCGGAGCCTCATTTTTGTCCAACCATTGAGGCCGCATTTTCAAATTAACATACAGCACCCATTTTTCATCTCCGGTAACAATTTGCTCTAAAAACGGCAAATGGTTTTGACGAGAGAGGAGCTAACTGCAAATTGTGACTCTTTGATTACGGTTGTTGTCGGTCAACTCATGAGGAACCCATTTTCCAAACTTTTGGACTTTGCCAAGTGCACGCAATTGATTGGAAATTGTTTTTTGTGAACAATTTAAAGTTGTCGCAAGCTCTTGTTGGGTAATTTGAGGATTTTGCACCAAAAGAGCTTGAAGAGCTTCTGGATCAAAATTGGACACACGGCCTCGACCATTCTTGTCATCTAACGAAAAATTTCCCTCACGAAATTTCTCAAACCAACGCTGGCATTTTCTGGCACTAACTGCATCTTGACCAAGAGCACTACAGATGTTTTTTGCAGCCTCACTTGCTTTTCTTCCTAATTGGAACTCGTAAAGCATGCAGTGCCGAATATGCTCTTCATCCGCCATCTTCTTAGCCCTAGTTTTGCAACAAAAACCAAACCAAACACAAACTTTTTCAAGCAAAACTTGTTAATTGCACTTCACACGTTCTGTAGATACCACGTGTTTGAAGGTTATGTCAATACAAGTCAACGCCAAGCAAGATTTTAAACGAATGTTTAAAAGCGACATTAATTATTACTAGACCCTAATAATTTTCTTTAGAAATTTTATTTTCCCTCTTCTGCGGTTTGCTTTCATGACAAGGTGTTAAATGTGTGGCTACAAGAGAAGGCTCATACAACAGCCAGCTTCTTCCCTCCCAGGAAAGCTCTCTTTCACTTAGGGCACCCTTGCAACTCTTCTAGAAACATTTCTCATTCCCTTCAGAGTTGGTCCTTAGAACAAGCAAACAAATGAACAAACCCAACCAAGCAGAAACAGCAATCAGACAAATAATCCTGTCTTGAATAATTTCACTGATGAATAGGTTATAACTCACAAATAGTATCAAATTGTTTTTTTCTACATCGCCTAGACACTGGAGTCTCTGAAATGTTGCTTTTTCTCACTTAAATTCTTTTTTATGATATATATTCACTGGCCCTTTTATCAGGAGCCGATATTCTACATAGTATGGATTCTGACATGAGCAGCCAATAGACAATCTGGGAAGTCATGTAATGTGGCAAGTTTCGATCACTTTCGAAATATTTGCCCAGATGAAAGATTGTATTTCCTCATTTGCTCCTGTCCCCTAGCTTTCATGATGTATAGCCCCTTGCACCCTACAATCTGATTGGACCGTGGCTGGGTACCCAGACTCAAGGGGAAGCTGGGAATGGAACTGAGAGGGAGCGAGGGAGCCTGAGGCGATTTTCACAGGTTAGGAAGGGAGCTGTGCATGGGGGTCTGATGGGACCACATTCTGCGGTAGGTATTGCAGAGAGGGCAGAATCTGGGTCCCCCAAAAGCCCCAGTGTCCTGTTCCGGTCCTTCTGGGGTTGCTATGGTCCTGTGTGTGGAGTCCTGGGAATCATTCCAGGAACTTTAAAATCAGCACCTGCTCATTTCTGTTACTTGAAACAAATGGAAATTTAACTCCCCCAAGTAGAATAAACAAAATATAGGAGGGAAGTGGGTAGGGATTTCCTCTCAGGGAAGGAGCCTGCGCCCTTTCAAAGACCTCGCTGGGTGGTCCGAGTCTCCGGTGTAAGCCGGGAGGGCGGGGCAGGGCCCGAGAGCGACTTGCTTGCCATCTGCATCACAATGGCAGCAGCCTCCCCTCAGAAAGTTGATGTCCAGCCTTCCTTCTCCGCGAGGCCACAGGGAATTTCCTTAAGCACATGAGCTTTCTTAGCTCCTTTCTCATTTTATAACAGAAACACAGGGCATGGATACAGTTGAAATGACCTCAGACATAGAGTTAGTTGCGCATTTGCAAGATAGAGTCAGTTAATGTACACAGGTACCTACAATAATCCCTCGGAGCAGCCCTTTGAAAGGCAGCCAATTTCACTGCATAGTCATGGGTTATTTTGCCCACCGGTCAAATCAGAAGCTGGTCCCAAAACTTGCTTCCCAGACTTATGCTTTAATGCCTCTGGAAGTCCTAACCGTTTACAGCACAACAATTTGTTCGCCCTGCTTCTGGTCTGGAGGAAATCCACAGGGACACTGTTCGCCAGGCCAGAGCGCATGCTGCCCCAGCAATGACTGAGGGCAGTGGCAGCCCCAACGAGGAATACCCTGTTAGACAAGCACACCCTTGGCCCTCATCCAGCTCCACCCAATCAGAATCTGGGGTGGAGCCCAGGAATCTCCCTTTAACAAGCTTTCCAGATGATTCATATTCGAGTTCAAATACAGGAACCGCTGTCTTAGAGCCCGGTGTGTGTGTGTGTGTGTGTGTGTGTGTGTGTGTGTGTGTGTGTGTGTATGTGTGTATGCAGGAGGCAGCTGATCAATGTTTCTCTCATAGATGTTTCTAACTCTCTATCCCTCTCCCTTCCTCTCTGTAAAAAATCAATAAAATATATATATTTTAAAAAAACACCACAAAACTCCTTATGTACTTCTTCAAATAAAGAAACATAAAGGAGGCTCCAGGAGCAATGGGACCCGCTTAGTTTAAGTGAACAACCTGCCAGATGATCCTCACCCCTGTATGTCCTCTCCCTCCCTCCCCACTCCCTGGGGAGCTCAGCTCTCAGGAGTCAACACGCCAGCAGCCTGGAGACGGGAGGGAGCCCGGGACACGGGAGCCCGGGACACGGGAGCCCGGGACACGGGAGCCCGGGACACGGGAGCCCGGGACACGGGAGCCCGGGACACGGGAGCCCGGGACACGGGAGCCCGGGACACGGGAGCCCGGGAGACAGGAGCCTGGGAGACGGGAGCCTGGGAATGGCTGCAAACAAACCGGAGCAAAACTGGCGGGCAGGGCCTTTGGGGAGCGCCCTGAGGCTCCCCACAGGCCGGGCAGACGTCTCCAGCGCCGCGGGGCAAGCCTACCTCATGGTCGCTGCTCCTTCTCTCTGGTGCTGCCGTTTGGCTGCCGATAGGGCTGCTGAGCCTGCTCCTCAGCCGCCTTCCTCCTCCGCCTGCAGTCAGTGCTCAAGTCACCTATATATGGAGGCATCCCCGGCGCCTTCCCCTTGCTTTCCGGAACAAGGGCTTGGGTAAAGAGAAACTGAAACTGGAAAGTGAACCAGGCAGGCTCTAAGGGGAAAGGAAGAGCCAGAGGGGGTGGGGGGCTCCTCCTGGGCTGAGTCAGAGGGAACTGCGCTGGGTGCATTGTGTTCTGCATCAGCCGACATCCAGGAAGTCCAACGGGGAGGAGACAGTTCCCAAGGCCCCTGCCCCTTTAGTAAGTAAATTCCACCTTCACATGAAGTCGGTCACCCACCCTCACCTTTCCGGTCGCCCATAGAACGGGCTAGGACAGGCCGGCCACTGCCAGGAGCGGTTATGTAACCTCCAATGGGAAAGGGGTCTTTTGTCAGTTTCATTCACTGCCCAATCTCCGGTTCTTACAATACATGGCACACGGCAGGCATTCAAAAGTAGTTTGTTTTTAAAAATATTTTTATTGATTTTTCACAGAGAGGAAAGGAGAGGGAGAGAGAGTTAGAAACATCGATGAGAAAGAAACACCCATCAGCTGCCTCCTGCACACTCCCTACTGGGGAGGTGCTTGCAACCAAGGTTCATGTCCTTGACCGAAATCAAACCTGGGACCCTTAAGTCATAAGGCATCACGATGCTCTATCCACTAAGCCAAATCAGTTAGGACCAAAGTAGGGTTTTTTTTTTGTTTGTTTGTTTTTTAATATATACATATTTTTACTGATTTCAGAGAGGAAGGGAGATGGGGAGAGAGAAACATCAATGATGAGAGAGAATCATTGATCGGCTGCCTCCTGCATGCTCCTCACTGGGGATCAAGCGCACAACCTGGGGATGTGCTCTGACAGGGAATTGAACTGTGACCTCAAGGTTCATAGGTTGATGCTCAACCACTGAGCCACCCCAGCCGGGCAGTAGTTGTTGAATGAATGAATTCAGGATAGAACAGCGGACTCTGATGTTAGAAAGTAGGGTGCTTTTAAATGCTGGGCCACTAACAATGATTGAATGGCTCCATGCTTTAGTTTCCTCTCCCGTGATATGGAAGTAATACACAGTGGTGTCTGAGGCTCACATGGATGGATACACAAAACACATTCTTCTATGGGGAATAATGCCTGGCACACAATAAGTAAATATTATGGTTTTTTGTTTGTTTTTAAAATATATTTTATTGATTATTATTATTATTATTATTATTATTACAGAGAAGGGAGAGGAATAGTTAGAAACATCGATCAGCTGCCTCCTGCACGCCCCCTATTGGGGATGTGCCCACAATCAAGGTACATGCTCTTGGCTGGAATCGAACCTGGGACCCTTCAGTCCGCAGGCTGATACCCTATCCACTGAGCCAAACTGGTCAGGATAGTAAACGTTAGTTTTTATTCTAATTAATAACTCAGCACATTAACCAAAGAGACCAGAATGGAAACTTGCGACGTTTGCTTTTTCCAGAGCTTTCGCCCCTCTGACATCTCATGACTCATCATTGTCACTGACTCACGGCAGACAGTTCCTGACCTCTCTACACATCGCTGGCTTCCCTGAGCTCCACAACCTTGTAAGCCCCGGGGGTCACCTTGGTATTCTGCACCCCCACATCGCAATGGGTAGCCGCAGTGGTGTGTCATGATAGAGGAAGCGTATCTTCTTTGCTCTTTCCTTAGTCATACCCTTAATCCCAAAGGGATTACCCTGTACATAGACCCAAGGAGGGAAAGCGAATAGCACCGGCTTCTTGGAGGCTGGGAACTTACACAGACCTTGGGAAATACACGCACTCCGGTCAGACTGAGGCTGACCAGCCAGGTGGTTGGATCTGGAGGAAGTGTGATTTACGTGATTTATTGCGCATTTTTCTGCCCAAGACTGGCAGACAATCCTCTTGACAATCCTCTGCCCTTTTTTTTTTTGGCTACATGGCTAAGCTCATCCCCATTGGAAATCAGTACTTTTAGGACTCACTTCTATTTACAAGTTTGTTTTTGTACTTATAGAAACATATTGTTAAATGTGCAAAAAGTGCCGAAATAGGAAACCAGGAACACTGATTCGAAAGTAGGGTGCTTTTAAATGCTGGAAATTATTATTATTATTGGAATTAATATTATTGGAATTGGCACTCAGGAAACTGTTAGATACACATGTTTCAATCCTATTCCTGAAGGTGCTGGGTGGGGAGAAGCTCAGAGAAAGCACGTGGTCCATGTGTTGCGAAGCGCCGAGATGGATGGATTCACCTTTCAGGAGTCTGCATGGCCAGAGCCCGTGTGTGATCTGCCTCAGCAGGGCTGAGTCACCTGCTCTGGCTGCTGGGCCAGAGTGAGAGTACGTGGTGTGACTGCAAAATAGAAACTGGAGAGGAAAACCAACTCTCTCCTGGCAATGGTTTCTATTTTGAGAAAAACGAAACAGTGAGAGTTCCTGTTACTCTGCTTTTTAGAAATATTTCTGTCTGTCTTTGCATAGACCTAAGGCTGCCCCTGTCTCCACCTAGACTAAGGGAGAGACTAGCTTGCTGTTCCCAGAATGAGCAAAGACCCCCTTGAGCAAAGTGGTCCTGTAATTTCTCCCCTCTCGCGCTCCTTCATTAGCCCCAGAGAACTGCATAATCTCGTATTATCTCTAAATCCAACCTACCTCATATTCAACTTTCTTGAATTACTCAACTTGAGTTTCACATCAGTTTCCTGCCAGGAACCTGACATACAGAAAAAAGAGAGGAAACCTCAAAAACCAAAACCCAGCCCTAGTTGGTTTGCCAGAGCGTTGGCCTGTGGACTGAAAGGTCCCTGGTTTGATTCCAGTCAAGGGCACATGCCTGGGTTGCTGGCTCAATCCCCAGTAGGAGTGTGCAAGAGGCAGCCTATCACTGGATCTCTTTCATCATTGATGTCTCTCTCTCTCTCTCTCTCTCTCTCTCTCTCTCTCTCTCTCTCTCTCTCTCTCTCTCTCTCTCTCTCTCTCCCTTTCCCTTCCTCTCTGAAACCTATAAAAAATATTTTTACAAAAAATCAAAACCCAGGGTCTGAGGACTAATAGGCAGATGAAATTAGGGTATTCTCTTTGTAAACTGTTTAGACTTTCTGAGATTAGATTTCTCCTATCTTTTGTGAGAATTGAATAAAATAACACCTGAAAAGTGCCTCTCACATTACCTGGTACATAGGAAGCATCTGAAAATGTGATTTTATTAGTATTATCATTATGTGGAGCAACAGCTTAAACATTAATCAGGTGAGGAATCATCTCATTAAGTATGCACAGCAGCCCCAGGAGGCAGGTGGTATCCCCTTTACAGATGAGAAATTGAGAGACAGTCTCTTACACAATAAGTTCAGTGCCATATCAATTAACCGTGTGTGTGTGTGTGTGTGTGTGTGTGTGTGTGTATGTGACTGCTCTCCTTGATCTCTTAACCACACCTATTATTTTGTGGTTAGTCAGAACCATTAATCTAGAAGTTGCAGTGAAGGTATTTTGCAAATGTGATGAAATGTCAGAATCAGTTCACTTTAAGTAGGAGATCCTCCTACATAACCTGGGTGGGCCTGGCTTTAGGACAGAGCTGAGGCTTCCCGAATGAAGAGCTGCTCCCTGTGGACAGCGGCAGCAGCCCACACCCCGGAGTACCAGCCTGCCTTTCTTAATGGTTTGCCCGATGGATTTGGACTTGCCTAACCAGCCCTCGCAATCACAGAGGCCCCAATACACCAAAGGCTCGGGAATTAATGGCATGAATCAGTCTATGAGGACCAATATCTGAATAGTAAGAGTTCTAAGAGGAAAAAAATATATATATTTATGAAAAAAGCCAATAAAAATATCCAATATAGTTTCCCTGATTGAAAGCTATAAGTTTCTAAGCGGGGGGAAAAAATAAACCTTTACAAAGTAAGCTTTTTAGTACACCAATGACAAAGAGAATTCTAAATGTTCTGGAAGCCAGGGGCGGGTGGGGGGATTTATAAAATAAAATCCAAATGTTTTTGGACTCAACAACATTAGTAAAAGCTAGAAGACAAGGGAGAAATGTCATCAAAATAGTGTGGGCAAGTGATTTCTAACTTGGAATTCTAAATATAGCCAAACAATAGGAGGAAAAAATAAAGACACGTTTATCTATAAAAGTGAACTATTTGCTTTATATGCACAGTTCCTCAGGACGCTGGGAGGAGACATCCCACCCAAAGTAGGAGTAAACCCAGGGATTTAGGAAGCACAGGATATAGTGCAAGGGGAGGTCCAGGACCAGAGGGAGGTGAAGGGAAACCCTAAATGAGGGAGAAGGGAAATTCTTGCCACAGGTCTCAAGAGCAACAGTGTAGATAGGAGCCGGTCACATGTCCTGTGAAATGTGAAAATGTCATCTTACCTAGTGTTTGAAAATGGGGAGAGGAGATCTATTCAACTGGAAGAGAGTTTGGTTGGGGCTGAGATAGTGATCATTACTTAGAAACCTTAAAAAAAAAATAAAGGGGGGAAACAACACAACTACTTTTTTGTTTTTTTGTTTCCTTTAACTTGGGGGAAATATGAAATAAAATACAGGAAAACATAGGTCATTGTAGAACAAGAAATGGCTCCGTTGCAAATAGCATTCCTGTGGTTGTAGTAATCTAAATACTGGATGTTAATCTAAGACAATGCCGTTGGCAAGGGAGGATGTGGGAGAGGTGCCGTGTGTGTGTGTGTGTGTGTGTGTGTGTGTGTGTGTGTTGAGGGAGGAAGTTCAGTGGTGGAAAGCTGATAAATAATGCCTAACCATTTTAAAAAATATATATTTTATTGATTTTTTACAGAGAGGAAGGGAGAGAGACAGAGAGCTAGAAACATTGATGAGAGAGAAACATCGGCCAGCTGCCTCTTGCACATCCCCTACTGGGGA